GGCGGGGGTGGGGAGAGGAGGTGTGCAAAGTTGGCCGAGGTCGGACGGTGTAGCCTTCGCTGCCCAGCGCAGAAATCGCGGGCAGCGATCCCCAGGCTGGGAGGAGCAGCCGGATCTCTCCCTAGCTGCGACCCTCCTGGCTAGGGTTGCGAACCTCTCCATAGCTGCGACCCTCCTGCGACCCTCCAGTTCTCAGCTGGAACTGCCTGCGGCTCTGTCCTTTGTCCAGCCCAGCTTTGTGTCCTCTGATCTGGGCCAGCTCCTTGCCCTCTCACTGTCTCTCCAGCAGGGAGGGGAGCCTGGGGTCCCAACTGCAGGTCTGAAGGCCTTCCTGGGGGCGGGGGCAAGTTGGACCTGGTACCTCTGTGCTCCAGGTCCAGGGACTCACCCACTCTTGGGGAGCCTTGCCCTCCTGTCCCTCCAGATCACTTGCCAGCTCTGCAAACCCTGTTCCACTCACACCAATCATTGCTTAACTGTATACACCCCTCTTTTCTAGTACCCTTGTGGTTGGATTCTTAAGTGCCCACCATTCGTCCATCTTGACCATTCATGGAGAGAATGTCAAAGAGAAGAACCCCCCCAGCCCTCCACTGGAGTCCCCCTGGAATTTAGGGGATTCAGAGGTGTTCCCATCAGCCAGCCTTCCATCCGTTTTATGTTTCCCAGTTGGTCCTGACCTGGTCCCCAAGGCCCAGAGAAACCTGGCTCAGTGCCTAGCACTGTTGCGTCCCACCAGTGGCCTAGGCTCCTCAAAGCCACCTTGTCTAGATGGGTCATGGGGTCCCTACCCTCTTCTCTCCTCAGGCCAGAGGTGTCTTCTAGGAGACTGGCAGGAAGGGAGGCTGGGCAGCTCAGAGGACACCGTGGAGACCTCTGAGTTCTCTCTCACTGTCAATTAGCTAGTAGACTGCCACCTCTCTCCTGCCTGTCTCACACTCAGACCTCCAAGGCACTCTGGTTGCCTCTGACACAGCAGCAGCCTCAGCTCATGTTGGAACAGGCTTCAACCTCAGTCCTTTGGCTGGCTTCTCTCTTGGGGCAGCCTGGTATCTTTCCTAGGGAGGAAGACACATGGAGGCTCAGTCAGAACCTTCCAGTCCTGTGGCATGGGTTTGGCTGCCCTGGCTCTTCCTGCTCAAGACCAGCCTCCCGAATGCCTGACTCAGTCCAGCCTTTCCTGTAGGACTGGTGTGAACACTGTGGTCCCAAGCTGCTTTCCCTGAAGACACTGCCACTTCTAGATCAGCACCCCAAATCACCTTTCTTAACTGCCTTCTATCTGCACTGCAAACCAGATGGAGAACAAGAACTAGACAAGGAAAATTGGTGGTGGGAGCAGGTGGTCACTGCCTTGTGCTATTCCAGGTTATTTAACCTCCTTTGGAGAGTCTGCATTCCTTTCACTGTGTGTGGGGGGGCGGCAAGGGGCGGTGTCCCACAGCCCACAGCTCTGGGCATGTGGTGTAGGACCATACTCTCTGGCTTGAGCAGTTGAGGGTTGCTGCAGGAAAACTTTCTGGGCTCCCTTTATTGGTCTGGGGGGCTGCAGGGCTCACCTAAATATGAGATGCCCCTTCTGTCCTTATTCCAGATGCAGAGGCAGATGAAATTCTGCAAGCAAAGTAACTGAGTTCAAGACTTGGCTTTCTCATCTCAGACAAATCCATTGACTTTTGTGCCTCAGTTTTCTCATCTGTGAAATGGGGGATAGTAACAGCACCTGCCTCATAGGGTTGCCATGAGGATTGAATGAGGTAATGTCTATATGTCAGGTAGAACAGCGCCTGGTACACAGTGAGTGCTGTGTTCCTGCAGGAGACCCCTTCCCAAGTTTCCTTGCCCTATAAGTTTCTGTCTACAGTTATTTGGGAGATGATGGACACCGTAGGATAGTCCCCAGCCAGAGAAAATAGAGCCAGAACTCAACTTCCTCCACTCTGTTTATTCTAACTAGGCCTGGACTGGCTTTTCTAGGGGTTCCCTGATGTGCCCAAAAGGACATCACCTCCCAGGGTCTCCCCCACTGAACACCTTCACCCACTAACTTTTTCTACAGCCGATCCCTCCTGCCCCAGTGCAAAAGCTGGCATTTGTAAAAGTGGAAGGCAGAGAGGCCTCATCTTGTCCCCAGGAGACCTGGGCCCCTGTCCCAGCTTTGCTTCTACTGACTGTGACCCTTTGCTTCTCTGGGTCTGTTTTCTCATCTGTGGGATAGCAATACAGATTTCACAAGGGATGCTGTGAGGATAAAACCCTAATGGGCATAGGGGTTCCAGGTTGCTCAGAAAGCCAGTCCCCCAAGAGATGATGGCTCCAGAGCCATCAGAGCTAATTGGGGTAGCCAGCTTCCCACCCACCTCAGTAAGCTGTCTGTCCCTGGGGTACCAGGCCCACGCTACACAGGCACAAGCTGATCCACACTGATCTTAATTTTTTGTGTTCTGGGCCACAGGTGAAGCCTGTGGATGGACCCTTTCTCACAATCATGTTTTTAAATGCAGAAAATAACATGCACAAGAATTCAAAGGAAGCCAATTATACTGAGATGTGATTCTATCCACAGGTCACCTCTGAGGGGTCCTTGGTCTGCTTAAGAACCCCTGTGTGGTTTCTCTATAACCCTGGCTCCCCTTACACTCTGCTTCCCCTCTCCAAAGAACAGCTTTTCTGTGTCCATATTTCAGCTCGTCTACACTAACACACCTTGCTCATGATTTATTCTGTGTGGTGTGACTTTAAGCAAGTCACTCTGTGCTTCAGTTTATTGTTTTTATTGCTGTGTTTGTCGGTGCCAATAACTGGCTTTGCCAGTGACTCACTGTTGATGCTGGTGACTGGAGCTGCAGTGAAGCGAATGGGGAACTATTCAGAGGCAGAGAGTAAAAGAAGAGTGAGTCAGGCCTCCGGGTGGTGGCCTGACCTTGGCACACAGTAGGGGCTCAGTAAATAATTGCTGGGTGAATGAAAGAGAAGTTGTAATGCACATGAAAGGACTCACTGTTCCCAGCATATTGGCAGCACAGTTTTGTACAAAGTTGCAGTTCTCCTGTGTTCATCAAAGCAAGCCTGCGTTAATGGGCTCATTTAAAAAATCAGCATTTTTTTCAAGAATTCCATTCGCAGCTGGCACCTTGGGGATGATCACTCAGGTGGACAAACTGAAGGCAGGAAACAGGCCGGCCTGAGGCTCACAAGTGAGGTAACAGCAAGTTGGGTCACAATGAATTCGTTGAGTAATTGAGGCAAAATATTTGGCGGGCTCGGAGGTCTAGCCCAGGCTCCACCCCGGCTCCTCCTGGCCCCACCCCATTCGCGTCCACACTAGCCTGCAGCTCCTCCGGGACCCTCCTCAGCGCTGTCGTCTCCTCCCCTCGGCCAGCCCTCGGGTCTTGAGCCAGCCTCGGAGCTGTGGTTGGAGTTCGCCGCTGGGGCTCGCCCCTCTGGTCTGGCTCGCCCCTCTGGTCTGGCCCCGCCCCTTGGCCGGACTCCGCCCACACGCGGCGTCCGGAGCGGAGGTCCCGCCTCCCCGCCTAGACACCGCCTTTTCAGGGCTGGACGTTCCCGGAGCGCCACCTGGGCTCAGGCCCCGCCCGTGCGCTGCCTCTTGGGTGTGGCTCTGCCTTCCTCGTCACCTCCTGAGGGGCGGCTCCCGGTCCGAGCTCCGCCTCCCTGGCCTGGCTTCACCCCTCGATCCTCTTTGTGGCCTCTGGCTTTTGCTACGGATCTGCTTCCTGGGTTATGACTCTGCCCTACCCCGCCTCCCGAGTCCCGCTCCTCCTCGGGCCTGCCTCCTGGGTTCTGGGTCCACCCCCACCTTCAAGTGCATCGATCCCGCCCCTCCTGGACGGGCTCCGCCTCCTATTGTCTGACTCCGCCCCTCCGGTCCCGCCTCTCGGGCTCTAGCTCCGCCCTTACACGCCCGGGCTCCGCCCCCGCTCCCCTGCCGGGCTGGCTTCTGGAGGCGGCACTGTCCTGGCCCTGGCTCCGCTGCGGCGGGTGCACTCGGAGCGCCATGCAGTGCCTGGGGGTCCGGAGCCGGAGCCGCTCCCGGGAGCTCTACCTGCAGGAGCAGAGCCTCAAGGTGGCAGCGCTCAATGGGCGGAGACTGGGTAAGGGGCGCAGGAGGCGCAGAGATCCGCGGGGAATGGGAATGCAGCTGGGCAGGATGCAGACCCTGAACTCGGGGTCACCTGCCTTTGAGACTTTGATTGGACCTGTTTAGTACTTCTGTGAGTGTGTGTCCCACTGCGGGGCAGTGTTTGCAGTGGCGGCAAGTAGGGGTGAGTACTGGGTTGACAAGTTACCTCTTCTAGTGATCTAACTCAGTTCCTCTGACGCTCCCTGTCCCTTGTCACCCTAGCCCCACCTGTTTACACATTTCTAAGGCACCACTGGGTATGTGGCCTGGTGTATAGCAGGTATGACTGCAGAGTTTGTGCTCCAGTGTGAGCCTGTGCAAATGTGTGACAAGTGTGACAGTGGTGCTCTAGGATGTGACCCAGTGGTGACTGCGTAATTCTGTCACATGTGTGGCAGGTACTGTGGGGTGTGCTGTGATGATGGTGTAATGCTGTGTAATGAAGTGTGTGACGATGTGACACTGAAGGTGGCTGCATGTAACCCAGAGTGACAGTGTATGATCCAGTGTGATACTGTGTAACTGAGTTTAAATGTGTATGACTGATGTGTCGGTGGGTGACCCAGGATGACTGAGTACTTCTGTCGTTCTGTTATGGTATATGTGTTATATGGATTTTCTGATGTTTTTACTCTGGGGTGGCATGTCCCTGTGTGGTGGCTGCATAATGTTTCCCAGCCCCGACCCTGTGGGCAGGCTGCCTGATTCTGAGTCCTGACTTCACCGTGCAATTTCCTTGAACCTCAATTTCCTCATCTGTAAAATGGAAATAATGATAGTGTCTTTCTCAGAGAGTTGTGGAGAGGATTAAATACATGTGCTCAGAAACAGCATCTTATTCAAATATTATTATTATGTTGGTCTCTTTTGTCATCATCATGATGTTCTAGCATTGCATGTTGTGTGGCTGTGTGTCACACTGAGTGTGACACTGTGCAACTCCATGTGACAGTGTGGAATTATGGGGGTCAGCGTGTCACAGTGTGTGGCTTATCGTCTCTTCGAGATTGTGTGTGGTACTGATTGAGTGTGGTGGTGTGGTGTGTGACTGTGTGTTTGTGGGGACATATCTCTTTGTAGCTGTGGGATCCCAGGCCTGGTATGACTTCATTATGCATCACCCTATGTGTATGGGCAGAAGCCCTGGCACCCTGCTCAGCTCCCCACTGGCACCTGCAGCTCCCTCATGCCCTTCCCTAAGGCCACCTCCCAGTGTGCAGCTAGCCTGGGCAGGTTGGCAAGGCTGCAGGTCAACCCAGGGCCCCTGAGCTCAGAGGCCTCTCACCACCCCCTCCACAGGAGAATGTACTACAGCTGAGTGAGTGGAGCTGGGTGAGGGGTGCCTACGGACTTTCTGGGTGTGAAGGGAGCAGGGTGAGGGGGACGGGAGGCAGCCCAGAGATTTCAGAAACAAGAGCCCCAACTAAGGCTAAGAGACGGAGGCACCTGCCCAGGTTCCCCAGTACCCCCGAGGGCAGTGACTGTCCCCTTTCTGGATTTATCCAGGCCCTCTTTGGGATTGAGGTCCATCCTCCGGATGCCATATTGGCAGCTGAGAGGCTTATCTAAGCCTGGCCGCAGACAGGGCCACAGTCTGGCTCCAGGACAGGATGATCATATCATTTCATCTTGGTGTTTTCCAGAACCAGAGGGTGGGTCTCAACTTCTATTTCCTGGCATTCTCCGCCCCCCCCTCCAATTTCCATCTGTACTGTTCAGTGCTGTGCCCAGCTTGGGGTGGGGGCTGGGTGCTGACAGAGGATAAGGAGATGTCCTTCCCGGTTGTAACTCTATCTTGGAAAGGACAGTGGAATCCCCCAGTGGAGGCCAGAGGTGGCCCTTTCCTTGCCAGCCTGGGAACTTCCTTCCTGTTCTCTTGTCCTGGGCCCCTCAGACACAGCCAGTGGTTTGGAACATTCTGTAGAAGCCCCTTCTCCGCTGTGTTCCCTCTTGGTCTGAAAGGGAACAGCTCATGCTAAGGTGTGTCTCTTAGAGTGGGTGGACAGACCTGGGACAAAGGTGGAGGAAGGGCACTTCAGACTGTCACCTCTGAGGAGGCCCAGGGATGCCTCCTCCAATACTGTTTTCACCGCAGTGCTGATGGGGGAACAGAGGCACAAAGAGGGAAGAGAACTACCTAAAGCCATAGGGGTGGACATCAGCACTGGGCTGTATCCCATCTGGAAGCAGGAGACTGAGGAGGGACAAAGAGTGTACGAGTGACAGGCCTAGGGAAGTGTCCAGAAGGTTCTGTGGGCCCTGTAGATATGTGGGGCAGACTGGCTGGGGGTGGGGGCATGGATGACACAGGAGAGGCCATCAGCAGCTGGGGATCTGGGCTCAGAAAAGAAAAAACCTGTGATTTTGTGAGGGTTTCCCCCATTGGCTTATCAACAGATCCCTTAGACTAGACACTGGAGGGCAGTGGCATGATAACGGCTCACTGCAGCCTCGACCTCCCGTGCTCAGGCGATCCTTCCCAGCCTCCTGAGTAGCTGGGACTACAGGCACACGCCACCAAGCTTGGCTTATTTTTAAATTTTGTGTAGAGATGAGCTCTAGTTATGTTGCCTAGGCTGGTCTTGAACTCCTGGGCTCAAGTTATCCCCCTTCTCAGCCTGGGATCACAGGCGTAAGCCACTGTACCCAGCCCTGCCTCAGCTTCTGACACAGCTGCACTGTATCCTGAGGGGTCCCAGACCCAGGGCACTCTGAGATGTGAGTGGGGTGGGAAGGGACGGGGCATCCCAGCAGGCCAAGCACAGGCTGCGGTGGGCTCATCTGTCTCTTCTGGAGACAAGGATCAGAGACCCATTCAAGCAGGCTCGAGTCAGAGGTGGTGGCAGCTAGGGTGAGGATGGCAAGATGGGCACAAGGGTCCCACAGCAAATGTAGTGTTGACACCAAGAACTACAACTGCCGTTACCTCAGGACCTCCACACATTTGTGCTTATTTCATTTAACCTAGAACTTCCCTTTGAACTGGGTGCTAGTTTTATCCCCATTTTATAGACAGGAAAGCAGAGGCCCAGCAACTTGGAGTCACACAGATGGCCAGGAAGGGTATTGGACCTTCCAGGTGGTCTTGCAGTCCTCCTGCAACTTGTAGAAGTGCTTTCTCTGCCATGAACTGGACTTCACCTTCAGTGAAAAACGACTGAGCCATTGGAGTTGATTCCATGATGATCTGGGGTCCATTTCCATCCGTTTCTGCCTCTTTTTTCCCCTGCTTTCCCTGATCTTTCCATCCCTACTTCCTTCAGTTCACTCTGACCCTAAGTGTGACCTGGAGGGGCCACCTCATCTTTCAGAGCTAGGTCTCCCAGGAACCAGGGGTTCTGTTTTTTTTTTGAATTGGAGTTTCACTCCATCGCCCAGACTGGAGTGCAGTGGCCGCTCCCGGCCACCGCAGCCTCGACCCCTGGGCTCCGGCGATCCTTCCACCTCAGCCTTCCGAGTAGCCAGAATTACAGGCACGCGCTACCACGCCCAGCTGATTTTTGATTTAT